TACACGACTACAACGGTAAATTTTGAAGCGTTGGAAGTTTTTCCTATCAATGAAGCAATGCTATTCAATGTAAGTATGATTTTTGAAAATACAATATGTTATTTTATGAATTAAGTAGAGATTTGATGGACTGAAAAAAAGATGCTGTAGTTCAAATAGTATGATCGTTACAATGAGAAATAAGTTTTGGACAAAGTCACCGTACTGGTTCACAAAAACAAGTTTTGATTATTTTCCTTCTGAAATCACTGTTAAGATCAAAAAATCTTACCGAAACAATTCTGACGAAATGAAAGTTTTTATAACAGCATTTTGAGACAACTAACAGTTGTTTAACTATTGTTTGAATTAACTAAGAACTCCCTCGAAATTTCTTTCCAAGTATAAATTTAAGGCCCGTGTAACGATCCTACAAAAAACTTATTTTTAATTGATGAACGAGAATTTTCCCGCCTAAAATTTGTCTAAAATTTAATTGCTTTAATTTTTATAGATTATGGGTGCTGCCATTTCGTATTATTTTGTGAAAGTTCAATTTCGTCCACCAAAACATATTGATTACCAAGCTCTTACCAGTAATAAATATTTCGATAAATGAAATATTTTTTGTACAGGAGTCGCCCGAAAAAGTCAACGAGAAAGAGATGCAGTTAGAGAGTTGTTTTAACGAAACAGGAGTTAATGAATGTAAGATCTCAGCTTAAACTAATATTTGACACAAATATTAACATTACTTCGAGACAAAAATATACGAGTTTTATCAGATTTGGCGTAGCTTATTTTTGAAATCGTTCAGTAATGTTTATTTTTTTTAAAACTCTATCTCTATGAATATAAAATTGTCAACCAGAATTTACTTTTCTGATTCACGATTTGAGAAAAACGAAATTCAAGTTTTTAATAATCTGAATAAAACGCGGTTCAAAAGTAAGTTGGAATTCAAAGTTTTCGATTCAAATGTAAATTTAGATTTAAACCAATTGAAACTGGACGGTGCAACAGTAAAGCTGTAAATATATATTAAATTTGTTTAATATTGACGGAATTTTTAAATTTAACGTACAAATATGACAGTTCACTGAGTTAAAATGAATCATTTTAAATATTGGCTTGTCTTTCAGCCTTGGTCTATAGTCCGTTCAATGAAACAATGGAGGCAATGCAAGATGAGAAATTCGATTGCTTTATGGCCTGCATGTATAAGAAAATGAATGTCGTAAGTTCAGCAAATTGTTATACATAGTGGAAAATTTATTCAACAAAAACATTAATACTTATAATAAAATACAATATTTTGACATTCTTAAACTATTAAGGCAGTTTTAAACTTAGACTATCTAAAAAATATACACAATAAAATATCGATACAGTATCAAATGAAAGAGTGGGAAAAATTGAATAAAATGTCAAACATACAAAATGGACACAGTCCATCGTGAGTTTTATAAAAATACATTTTTAGTGAAAATGCAAATAAGTATAGACAACTTTGGTGGCATTCATAAAATTTTCTAAACTGTTAATCAATGGTTTTTATAGTTATTGTAATAAATTTTTTAGATGACACCTGATGGTACTATCAACGAGGAAGTCGCTCGCTCTGTAATGTTGGAATATTCGTCCCAGAAAAGAGCTGAAGATATCATGAAATGTTTTACACCAGGTAAATTATTTAATTTAACATTTATTACTACTAAGTTTAATTTTGTTGTTGTAAATTGAAATTTATGTGTGAGTAATTTTTTTTTTCAAATTTTTTTTTTTAAATCATGTAAAAAAAAAAAATTACCAAATATCATGACAAAATTTAAAGTTCAGTCTTATTTTTTTTGTCGCAAGCAAATTTAAATTAATAAAGTCAGTAAAGTTGATGAAAATAACATATTGGAAAAATTTAGTCTTATAAAAATAATTTCGACTAAAAGCTTAATTCTAACGACAAATTAACGACAATTCAAATTAAGCAACCTAAAATGTATACAAATTACAAGTCTCGTTCACAGGAACAACTTTTTAACGGAGTTGTGTTAATTTTTGGTTGTAATCTAAATTTCAGTTGGAAACAGCAGCTGCGAGACCGCGGGAAGCCTTTTTAATTGCGAAATGAAGTTCCCAGCTATCATCTATTTAAACTAGTGATGACCCTTCATGACTCTTCTATTATTTTTTAATGATCTTAATGTAAAGGACTTCATAACATGTTTATCTTCAATGCATTCAATGTACTTTTTAATATATGTAAATAAATCAAGTGTATGCAAAAAATCAGACCTTTTATTATTGTTGCAGTCATCTTGAAAAAAAAAAAAAAAAAAACAATTTCAATTTTGCCAAGTGTTAATTACAAAACTTGTATTTACAGTTTGCTCAATAATAGGAATTTAAACAGCATGCACAGTTTAAAATGTTACAAGACTATTGATGACATGCTGAGTATGGCGACTTGAGACAAAGATCTTCTGATCACTCCCCACTGAAGAGTTAGATTTCTAATACAAAAAACTCTGATTCGTTGTGATGTAACAGCATGAAAAAAATAATAATTACGTACTATAACTTATATAACATATTGACTTTACATAAATAATATTACTTAATTTAAGTTGAACGCCTGGTAAAATAAATCTTTTTTGTTTATTAAGTGTAATTCTCATGTTCTGAATAAAGAAAAATTTTTTTTAAATGCTCATGCCATATTTTTTACTTCCTCTTGAAACATACTGAAATAATTATGAGAAAAACAGGCTCGATTTACGAAAATACCTAACACACTTTTGCTGATTAAAGATGGACATTTTTTTTTCGAGTCCATAACAAAATTTTTTTTATACGTAAAGAAAATATATGAAATGAAACACTAGAACATTTGTGGAATTGAATTATTTTGTTAATATTTCATGACATTGCAAAGAAGCCGCCTGTACAGTTCAAGTTGCAAAAAGGATATTTGTAAACTCCAACAAATTTTAAAACATAGAACTATAACCTTACGACTAACATTTTTCAGTTACAAGTCCTAAGTAACGTTGGAGAATCAAAGGGTGCCAAGTGAGTATTGCTTGTTTGGATTTTGAAGTGGTTGACATCCATCCAAGTCGAACTCCCAAGAAAAAAAATGTTCATCAAAAAGAAAAAATTCAACTTCATGACATAGAATGACACTGTTAAGATAGTATTCGAGATATTTATGTCTAATGTTGTCATGGACAGAATAGAAAAAGTTTCTAATTGATTTACGATTTTACTTATATGTCAATAATTGTTGTCACTGTTTAGTTTTTAGAACTGGTAATACAGAAGTGTAGTGTACCACCGTAGTGTGGATGAAGTTACATACTTAAAATTTTGTGACTAATTTAAAATTTTATTATGAACTTTCTTGCAATCGGCTAATATTTTTTGTTTTTGACTTATCCCTGAAAAAAATGATACTAGAATCTAACAGTTACGGAGGTATATGAATTGAGGTTGGATGCGTTGGTTAGTTTTTGTAGTGTCAAAAATCGTTGAGAAAAAATATGTTTAAAAAATTCATTCAGGTTATATAATTTATGACACGTTCCTTGCGAAGTGTTGCTATTAAAAAGAGACGTCCTTCGATGTCACGAAAAAATCATACTTAGAAGTACATTCAAAAAAATATTTTCGACCAAAATTAGGTGTAATTTCACGGACGGTTTCAATAATTCCTCTCTACATGCTATCATCATTAATCTTACCTTCGCTTATACGTCTACACATCCATGTATAAAATGTACGATTTAAAAATACGTACGTGTGTTTGGGCCTACCGTTTTGGTGACCACATTGGTTCCTGGTTTTTTTCTTTTCTTTTCCGGTTAATGTCACTCACGTACCAGCTTCCGGTTGTTAGAAAAACAACAATAGATTGGGTAAGTATATAAAAGGGACCCGATTCTTCTCTGGTAGGCTTAATTTATTGGTAGTAGTCCGCGTAACGTATAATACACATTTGTGCACATAGAGTCGAGATGAAGACCTTCGCGATCAGTGTTCTGCTAGCCATGGTTTTTTTATTAGGGGCTCTGTCTGAGGTAGATAACTGTTTTATTTTTTACACTCATTGCGAGATAATGAAATCATATTGAATAAATTTTTAATAAATATTTCGATAAATGAAATATTTTTTGTACAGGAGTCGCCCGAAAAAGTCAACGAGAAAGAGATGCAGNTTTTCTTAGCTATATCTAACCATACCGTCATTTCACGGATGACTTTCTTCGTTTGTTTAGACTTACCGCTATCATTAATGTTATCCCCGCTCGCTTTTTTAAATATCACGCATGAAACGCACTTGTTTAAAACGTACATGTGTGTTTAGGTACAGTGTTACGTTTTCCCCCCCCCTTTTTTTTTAAAATACAAAAAAATAAGAAAATAAATTTTGTTCAATGAATCTTTTCTTTACTCGCTCAAAAAAATCGTACAATTAATTCGCTATGAGATAGAAACTGTAGACAATGCATGATGTTAACAAAAGCACACATGATACATAATTGCTCGTATAATTGTAGGCTCTGTAATAAAAAATTTTTATACTGAAATGAGATATCCTTTTGCATCATAAAAAATGATACCTTAATGTACGTTCCAAAAATATTTTCGTTCAATGTGCTATACATACATACATGTATATATATACATTTTCAAGGACGGCTTCATTTATTCGTTTCTACGCACTACTGTCATTAAACTCATTCTTACTCAAACTTTTACATTTCCACGTACAATACGTATAAATTATAAACACATACGCGTGCTAGGACCCAGTGTGGCGTTAGTTCCTACCTTTTTTCACTTTTTTTTTCGATAAATATTACTTACGACCGGGCTTCCGCATGACAATAACATTAATCGTGGAACAAGTTCAGGGAACAATTATGAATCGGGCGTATATAAAAGACAACCGATTTGGTAAAGTTACTTCATGTGTCTGGATTACGTGCATTTTGTAATACATACTGATGTACAGAACCGAAATGAAGTCCTTTGCCGCTGTCATTCTGCTAGCTGTCGTTTGCTTTGTTGGTGCTCGTCCAAAGGTGAAACATTGCTTTCTAACGACTTTACATACATTGCGTCATTGTATATAAAAAATCAAAGTGTTTAATTAAAATTTTGATGAATTTGATTATTGTTTTATACAGGGGTTTTCCGACGAAGAAAATAAGATGATTATGCAGCATTCGGATAGTTGCATGGTTGAAGCAGGAGTTGACAAAGGTGAGTGCACGAAGAAAATTAACAAATAATAAATTAATTTCGACATCAGTGCGGTCTATGGATTTTATCGGATTGAATGCTGTTGATTTTTTTAATTCGTGGAGTACCTTTGAACTGCGTAAATTTTTTTAGATTAAAGAGTGCTACAAATAAATCTTGTATTTTACATTAATTTTAATTATTAATCGTTTGAGTTACATTAAGCTGAATCATTCGAAAATTATCATCAGAATTAATTTTTTTCCTGTTTGTTAATCAGACAAAGTTAATCATAACTCATTTATTTATTATTTACGAGATCGAATCTTTAAATAAAAATTTTTTAATCGTGATCCATTTTTTATGATTCAGGAATATAATTATGTGTCATTTAAGTTTTTAAATACACAATCGAATAAAACAATAATATATAAATAAAGGCAAAACTTCGATCCTCGTCTTCCTTCCTTCTACTAATGGCTGAGGCCCATCCCACGCAGTGTGTTCCATACATGTATAAATTGAGTCCTAAAATTTATGATTCAAAGATCAATTACAATTTCACGATACAATGGTAAAGCGGTACATTTAAAATTTTTAGCAAATATATTTTTAATTTAACCTTAACACGAAAAATCTTAACCAAGATCTTAATTGTCATGAAAAACAAATAGTATTAAATGCAAATAAAAAGTCTGATCGATATACCCAAATAGATTTACTAAATCGATTTTAATAAAATTAATTCTAATTAAGTTTATTTTTGATTATTTTACAAACCAATTTATTTTTCAGCCTTAACTCAATATCCATTCAACGAAAAAGGGGAAATGATCCAGGATGAAGATTTCAATTGCTTTTTAGCCTGCATGTATAAAAAAATTGATGTCGTAAGTCCATAAAACAGTTGAATATTATGATTGAGTAATCATTTCTCTAAAATGTTATGAATTAACCATAAACAACTTAATGATGATAAAAATTCTTAATAATTATTAATAATTTTTATTGTATGTATTATAATATTTATAAATATTTATTATCTTTTG